CCGCGGTCTTAGAGTGAAGACTATTGTCTTTAAGTGCTTAAGCAACTTAGAGTTAAGGGTCAATTTGTCTAAATTAATATAAGAGTATCTAGATCATATAAGGATATGGTCTAGTAATGATCTTATAAACTGCATAATTGTGTATATGTTTAAGATAAGAATGGTCATGAGACCTACTATAGTGTTCAATGCTTAAAGACCATGTTACTTCCATTATAGCACTACAATATTAAAATGACAACCCTACATATGCTATTGCAGGGTACAGTAGCGATCAATAGAAGTCTAGTGGCCCTTAACTTCATAGCAGGTAACACTACTAGCCTTGAAACTGCATTGTTGCAGTACTGAGTAGTGACAATTCTTTCCAAGTCCAACAAAATGCACCATATATTTATGGTGCACATATCTATCTACAAGTCAATATGGTGCAGTGGTCTAAATGGTGGTTGAATGTGGTAGTGCTAGAGGTTGCTGGTTCAATCCTAGCAGGTATCTTTTTTTTTCCTTCGCATATCCGCTAATCATTGTATTGCTGTACATCACCATGCTAGAGACTAACTATGTCTGATATGATCCAACTAAAAACTGAGCTATAGTCTTTTATAGCATGAGCTTCTAGCATGTACTTGGCTCTGGTCTTGATTCTGGTCTTGGAATGGTCTTGGTGGTCTTGGCCAAGACCACCCACCTGGCTTGGCCAAGACCAACGGTCTTGACCAAGTCCATTGGTCTTGATGTACTTGGAGTACTTGGTGGTCTTGGAGTACTTGACCAAGTACCCCAAGACCACATTCAAGACCATGACATTTTGCTGATGTATGGCGAGGGCGAGCGCGCTTTCCGACGGCTACAAGAGGAGATCCTGCGTCGAATCCCGGACCAGAGCCTCTTTGCATGGAGCAATATGTATAGCGGCTATGTGAAACCCAAGGCCCTTATCACTAGCCCATCCAAACAACACTGGCAAACCGGATACTTCTGCTGCGAAACGTATCGGGACACGAATTGCTTATTTGGCTCGTCTCCTGAAGCGTTCATGGCTGCCGGGGACATAGTGACGCGCTCGCTGGCCCGAAGGGGTAGGTGGCGCGTCACGAGAGGGAAACGGAGAGGTTCGCTCGAGGTACTGACAGGTTATGAGAGTCTCGATTGAACACTGGAGTTTGTACATACAGATCTCGGTTTATATACGGTTCACGGGCGCTATAACAGCTCTAAGGTTCGGGAACACACGGTACAGATAAGAGTTAGATAGGAGAAGCTAGGATTAGGAAGGGGCCAATCCCGAAGCACAACGTCGATCAGGTACGGAGGGGGAGAAGAGAAGTAGCGCGCGACGCGGGCGCTACATACGCCCTCCTGGACGACCGCGCTGGTGCGGGGGCGGGGCGTCCATGTTCAGGATGCGTTCGCGTTGCCCTCGGTCGCGACGAGGTTGAATTCCATGGCCGCGTCCTCCCCATCCGCGTGAGCGGTCTCGGAAGTGAAGTCCGGGACGTTGAGGAGTTGAGAAAGGCCGATGTCCGCCCCCGGGGAACCTGCGTTCAAGGGAGACCCCGCCTCGAAACCCAGGTCGAGACCTGCTTGGTTTTGGAGGTCGAGGGTAGTGGCCAGGGCCGAAGCGACCTTGCGCATGGCCGAGGAGTGGGCCCCAAGACGGGCCATGCTCTTGTGACGAGCCTCGCGCCCTTCGTACTGACGGCGAGACTTCTCGACGCGGCCGGACTCGCGCATGGTGGCGTCAGCCTTGAGCCTCTCCAAGAGCTGTCGCTCTTCGCGGGAGAGCTTGAACCGGTCTTCTAATTTCTCCTCACGTAGGAGCGTGGGATAGAGGAGCTCGGCGGGAGGGGGAGGGCGCGTGGTGAGTATTATAGCGCCCGAGTTGGGATCGACCGACGAGAACCCGTACAGGCTGTGCGCGTCCTCGTTCCAGATTGCCACGAACGTGTCTATACCGGCCGGTATCGAGTGCTCGGCGAAATCGAAACTCTTGCCCCCGCTGACCAGCTCCCGCAAGTGAGTCTCGTGCTCGAGGTACAAGCGGAGGAGTTGAGCAGGATAGACGTGGATCCCGGAAAGGTGGGCGGAAGTGAGGAGTAGGTCCCTGCCCGGGCAGAGGGTCGAGTGGACGTGCATGGTGAGCGGTGTTGGCCTGGTGGTTGGGACGGCGGCATCGGCGTCGACGGGAGGAGCGGGTAGATGGCGGATGATCGAGAACAGGGGGCTGGGGTAAAGAAAGCGGTGAGTCGACGTACCTATTATACTCCTGGCAGACATGGCTGATAAGGCTCTGCAGGAATACGTCGACATGACCCGAAAAGATCTGCGGGTCGTCAGGCGGTGGTGTCCCCGAGCCCTCAGGGAGCTGATTGACTGACTCTAGTCCTAACGCCTCCAGGTACATTCTTAACGCACCTAACGGTTCAGCCGTTCGATAAGGGATCCAAGTCCTGTCCCCTGACTTCCATTCGGCCTCAAAAATCGCGTCAGTTCCTTTACCGACGTGTCCGACAATTTTACTAACAGCCCACTCGTTTTCAGGGTCCTCAATCTCGAATACCTGGGTGTCCAGGCGGCCAGGAAAGAGCTGTTCGTCATTGGGCTCGTGAATACAGAGCAAAGAGGCGTGAAAAACATCATGGATACCTCGCCGCTTCAGGCTGGGAGGCAGCTCTACTCGGAACGAGGAGTTATGGTAGTCGCATACAATGCGGTACGGCCCGATATATTTCGGAGCAAGCTTACGAGCCAGACCCTTAGGTAGAGAAATGTTCTTAGTAGAGATATAGACCAGGTCCCCTTCCGAGAATGGGGCCGGCCTCCGCCGGCGGTTAGCATCACGGACATGTTTAGTCCTGGCCGCGATCACACTATCATGCGCCGCCATGATGGCTGACTTGACTTTTTGCGCATAGATTCGTACCCCAGGGTACTCGTTCTTTGCGGGGGCGATCCCAAATCATTGGACGGGGCATGCGGCCCATATTGAGGAAGAATGGAGCAAAACCGGTGGCATCCGATCGAGCCATGTTAATGGCGAACTCGATTCCCGGCAAACGAGCCACCCAGTCCCTTTGATCGGGTTTGATGCATTGCCTTAGCATCTGGGATACGGTGCGGTTTGCACGCTCCGTGGAACCGTCAGACTCTGGGTGGTAAGCACTAGACATCCGCAATTCCACACCAATAAGCTTGTGCAGGTGTGACCAGAAGGTACTGGTGAACAACACGTCCCGATCGCTGATAATAGCCTTAGGTAGCCCATGTAACTTATAGACTTCTGAGAAAACAAGCTCAGCGACATCTCGTGCGCAATAAGTCGTCTTAGAGGGGATCAGATGGACCATTCCTGTCAAGAGGTCGATCACAGTGGTGATCGAATCATAGGTACTATCTCTGTCCTTAGACTCAGGAAGGGGTCCCACAAAATCCATTCCGATCGCCTCCCAGGGCGCCGCAGGAACTGGTAACGGGTTGAGGAGACCATACGGCTTCTGGTTAGCTGGCTTGCTGCGCTTGCAAGTCATGCACGAGTCGCAGTAAGACTGTACGTCTGGGAGGAGAGTTTTCCACCATACGTGGTCGCAAAGGAGGTCGGCAGTCTTTTTTGGTCCCAGGTGAGCGAGAAGAGAGTGCGCGTGTGAGATCACAATCTCCCGGGCATTGTGCCCATTGACTAGGACGTGGGGGATACACAGTAGCTCACGTCCTCGTTCCCTGAGAAAGACTAGACCGTCAGAGACACGAAAATTCTTGTACTGATGGGGGTTCTTGACGATCGGCGCAAAAAATGCGTCTTCAGCGTATCTGTTGTGTAACGCGCCCTCCAGGTGAATGCCGTCTTGAGAACTGGCAATGTGGTCCAGGAGCTGAGCTTCCGAACGTTCTGCATGCTTGGCGGGCTGAGCTGGGGTACTGCTGTCCTGCGGGGTCGGAGATGGTGGTGTGCCGTCCGCCTGTTCAGCGGATTTGGTGGCCGTTTTGGTGCTGGGTGTGCTGGGAGAAGTTAGCTGGGCACCCGCGCCCTCCTGTCGTTCTGCGCGAGGTGGGTGGAGAACGACACGCTTGATGCGAGCGGCGAATTCTTTGGAGGTTTCGGGACGCCCGGTTTCAGGCGCTGGCGTTGACAGCTTCTCCCGCTGTTGTTGGCGTGGCCGTTGCCTTTTCGGCAGTGCAGGCGTCTCCCGCTGGTTGCCAGCAGACTCCTCAGAGTGGGTGACGCTGTTTAGGCCCATATTCACCGTCTTGCTTGTCCTCCAGACTGTGTTTCCGACTGTCGACACCGCGTCGGGAGATGAGCGCGAACTCAGAATGCGATCACGTGGTCGTCGAAGCGCTCGGCTTCACCGCGACGCGCCCTCCAGCCTCGACCCGACCGTGCTTGCAATACCTTCATTGCGGCCTCGAGCGGCGGTTTTTAGTCTTTCCGAACGCCTAGGGCTTGTGTCTGATAGGGCGGTGGCTGCATGCCCTTCCAGGTCGACTAGGAGGGGCACAGAGACCGCGTTGGTAGAGAGCGTAATAGGTACGTTCGCTGTGTCGTCATGCTGAGTGTATTCTGACGGCGCCTGCACCGTGCCCGGTTGGTCATTTGAGTAGATTCTGGATAGTGCATCAGCCAAGACGTTGTCCACTCCTAGTACGTACTCGATCCTAAAATCGTACTCGGATATCTTCTCCAGCCAGCATGCTTGCCGCCCGGACAGATTCCGCTGGTTGAGCAGATGTACTAACCCTTTGTGGTCTGTTACCCAGGTAAACGAGCATCCGAGCAGGATGTCTCGGTGTCGTAACATGGATTCTACCCCGGCGAGCATTTCGATTTCGTATACGGGGTGGTTCTGCTGAGCTGACGACAGCTTAGCAGAGAAGAATGCAGCCACGCGCGCGTTCCGGAAGTTGTCTCCTTGACATACCACACCAGCAATTCCGAGTCCGCCATGCGAACCATCTGTTACAAGCCAAATGGGAGCCGCGCCCTTGGAGTAGTCCAACGGTATACGGCAGTGTTCGCGGTGAGCGTGCACAAGCCGCTTGATTTCGTCAAACGCGCGCTGGTGAGTAAAGTCCCATTTGAATGAGGTGTTTGCCCCCGTCATTGAAGCCAATATCCCCATAGGAATTCGTACTGTAGCAATGTCATCTGCCAGATATCCTACCGACCCAAGGAAGCCGCGAAGTAGTTCCTTCGATGTCGGCACTTTCCAGTTGAGTACGCTATCCACTTTGTCCGGATCCATCCTAATGCCTCGGTCGTCCACGATGCGCCCTAGGATCTTCATTTCATTGCACAGAAATTTCAATTTAGTAGCACTCAGAAACAGTTGCTCACGCTTCAGTATGTCTACGACGATTTTGACGTGTTTGACGTGGTCTGATAGGGTATCCGAGTAGATCACAATGTCATCTAGATAGACGTCAAGAAACACCCCAATGTATGGGCCGAAGATGTAGTTCATCAAGCTCTGGTACGTTGCGACAGCGTTGCAGTCTCCCTGCTGCAAAACAAGGCTGACCATGTTTCCATCAGGTGTAGTCATCGCTGTACGTTCCACATGTTCGGGTTCCACCCGAAT